CTGCTATGAAGTAAGCTACAGTCAACCTGCACTATCATAAGAATATTAACATATAGTGTATTATTGTTGTTTATGCTCATGTGTAGAATACAGAATGTTGGTGTTAAATGTGTGTGTGGTCCAGATATGATGAAAATAATAGCAACAAAGTTGAAACCAGTTGTGTTTGGAGGCTGATGGTGTGTGCACAGTATGCTCATGTATCCTCGCACATTTAAATTGTAAGGTGGATATGAATGAAAGGGTTCCTGCCCATGTCAGTGAATGCTGCAGTTTCATTAGCCAAGGGAGGAATGCTGATGAGGCGTGGCCTCACAAGCTGATAAAATCGTAAAAGCATTCTGGCTCGAATCCAGAGAACAGGCAATTATTTCTGAGAGGGAGGGAGGGGCAGGGAGACACGGGACGTTTTCTCTGCAGACAAACCCCCCAAGACTATGTTGATCCAGTCTTAAGCCTATCCTCTTCTGTTCTGTTTCTTTCCTTATTCTGTTCAGATCTGTTCTCTTCTTGTCTTATTCTCCTGTCCTATTCTATTTGATTTGATTCTAATCTATTCTCAAACATGCTTTTCCTGTCCTATGGTCAGACCGTTCAAATATAAGAACACATGTCCTAATATGCAGAGTTGCTATAGATTCACAACAGGTCATATGAATGAACATTTTAAATGGTGATTTGAATAAACACGCCCATATTCATTCATGTGTTTAGGTAAGATGCTTGTGAAATCTGATTTCGAACCAAGATTCAAGATGATCGAGGAATCAGCTTGTGCCAATGTGGAAAGCTGAAAGGTGAATGGTTACCATGGCATTGCAGCTGGCAATTTTCCTGTCACAGAAGACAAGCTTTGTTTCTGCTGGGTCACAAGATGGGTCACAAGACAATGTAACTCAGATTTGGTTATTTTTCCAGAGAATTGGGTGCTGCATCAGTATTCACTGTTTCTACAAAATGTTATTCGTAGAGACAGCTCAGAGGGACTTTAGAGGCTTTGTAATACAGCTATACCAGAATTGATGGATGGAATAGTATTTATTTCAAACCTCTCAGTTTTGGCGTACGGACTAAATGCCATTTATATCTTGTGGAATTGATCTAAACTACCTCATATTTAAACCTTTAGCAGTATTCAGCTGGAAGTATGTGGAACAAACTCCTTTCACATGAAGCATGATCTCTGGAGTGTGCTTCAAGTCTACCCTGGATCACTGTCCACGTCTGTGCACTGCCTCTATGTTTGACTGCAGCATACCTAACTCATATGTAAACCGGTAGGCTCTATAAGGATGATTGTTCCAGAGAGTGAAGATTGGAGAAGAGGCAGGGGTTAAACACCTAACAACACTGAATAATCTATATAATATATTAACTGTGGTGGGATTTTACTCCAAACTAATAATCATTTTGAGATCATATCTTGAAAGTCAAATACTTTCATTGCCTAAGATTATCTGTATTAGCATCAAGCAAAATGCTGTATTAAGTGCTAATCCCCTTGATTTTCAGATTACATCAGCGTGTTTACAGCTCTTATCTTTACTCCTACAATATTTTAGTGTCCCTCTAGGATTTTAATCTGCCAGACTTGGAGGCACAGGGTTCCTGCATTTTCTCCAAAATTTGTAGCACATTATTCATGCACTTTCCCCTGAATATCGGATTTGATATCATAGTGCTCACTGCGCTTATCTCTCCACCTCTCCATCTCTTGTCTTCTTAGCTGCTTGGCTCGCCTACTCTAACATAATATCATAGGGTGTTGTTGACCCAAAAAACAACCGTGGGTCGCCAGAGGAATGAGGCTGTTGGAATCTGGTGTTCTGGCAAAACCTTTTATTTGATGGAGGTAAAATATACAAAACTGACTTACTTTATCAAATTATCTGATATTTCTTTTCTAATCTGTTGCTCTTCAAAATGTCAGGAGTAAAGTGAACAATACCTGTCACAGTTTCCTAAAAAGGATCAAACTAGACTGTGGTTGGCGTCTACGGTTTTGGTAATAAATGGACACTGGACCGTACAGAGTGCTAAATTATCAACATTGCTAAGTGGGAAAAGCCAGCAAACTACCCTGAGGCCCATGTCTGTTGGTTTGTTTGGGACCATGCAACAAAGTATTTATATAAATTAAAATGCCTTTTATATCTGTGTGTGAGGCTTCAATACAGACATGACAACTTTGCTCTGCTTTGTTGATATTCAAGACCTTTTTCTAACTTTTGAATGCACTTAATAAATCATTAGCTTGAACTTAGTAGTTGACCCCAAGCAAGCCATTGTAAATACATCTTGTATAAGACGTGAGAGAGTTTATCTGATCTTTTTGTCAATGTTTGTAACGATGCTTGTGTAGTGAGTCACAGTTTGCATGAGGATGATGGATTTAAATGTTGCCAGTTAACCAGTATCGACACTATTTTGTACTATTGGAACACTTCTGGCATGGAACTGTCATTTGCTGAGATGTTTTTTGCAAAGCCGAGAGCAGAAAAAATACAAAAAAATAGTTACATGAACTTTTGACATAGAAATGTTCCATAGTAATTATAGGACACATTGATGTGTTGTCCCAGACTTGCCTCTTAACCCTGATTGATGGTGCTCAGGGAAGATAAACACTGTGCAAAAGAGAAAATAAAACAATGTAAATGCAATGTTTCTCCTACATCTGGCCTGGGGGTCAGCCAAGTCAGTGTTGCAGTAAAGTTAGACAATGAATTCCAGCATGAAGGGAGGGAGGAAGCGGGAGAGACAATTAAACATGATAATCAGCCACAGTGTCATGTGCTGTAGTGATAGTTGAAAAGCAATGGAAATGTCTTGTTTTGTAACATAATAGAAAAAATGCGATTTTGCATGGACCTAGGCTATGGTATATTTAACAAGGCATAAAGGCTTTATCTCAAGTAAGCAAACACAACCTTACATGTATCAGCTGGCGCCAGATGGCTGTGAAGACTAAACTCAGGATGGCTGTATTGTAAGTTGAGGTATATTTACTTTTGCCAAGGAGGTAAATACGTATACTTCTTTCTTATCCGCTTGTTTGTTGGTTTGTCAGCAGGATTAGGCAAAAACTACTAAATCGATTTTCATGAAACTTAATGAAAGGATGAGGAATTGGCCTAGGAAGAACCTGGGCTTTTCCCGACAAAGGGGCACATCTAGCCATTTTTTTTCACTTTCTTTAATATTGCAAGGTGGTTTGTTTTTTGAAACATTTTTTTTTAAATTTAATTTGTTCTGTTAGCAAGTTGGATAGATAACTGAGATTGACATACTGAATATGCAAAGCCAAACTTTTACAAATGAACTATTACACAATGTACATTTTGAACAAATCTTTTCTTAAAGCATCCAGCAATGAAAGAACTGAATATTTCTAAACATTTTCTTTACCTGGCAATAACGTATAAAAGTTAAGGTGCAGATCCAGAAATCCTGTAAAACACCCAATATATATAATCAAACAGCTTGAACTAGTCAGACTTGTTTATTCCTCCTGCTGGTTTGTTGATTGTTTGAAAATAGATCGGAAATCAATTATATTAGCATACAAAGAAACTAATACACAATTTAAAGTTATTTAAAAACTGTCAGCAAGTAATGTATTGAAGAGAATTTTGCTGCAGAGGTGAGTTTAGTATTGACATTGAGACTTTCAGGGATATCCAGGGACAAAGAGTGCCTTACTCCATCTTACACTCTCCCTGATGGGAGTTTTTGAAAAGCACTGACAAGCTCCTGACCCTGAAAGAGTGATTTAATGGAGCACCACCCTGAAATCTTTTGACTTATACCTTTCCTCAGGCTGTGTATGGTTTTTGTGTGCGTGTGTGTTTGTCTGTGCGCGTGCGCATATTCGTGTGTTGTCTCAATATGTTGTTCAACAACCAGCTCTATGTAGTCAGCTGTCCAGTGCACTGCTGATGTCATTAATCACAGACCCAACACGGCGGAGAAAAGGAGTGAGGAGGGAGAGAGAGAAAGGGCCAGGCTGGAGTTGTAATCTGTGAAAGGTACCTGAGGGAAAGCTGTGAAAGATGCATGGAGGAAAGAAATAAAAGAGATCAGAGGTGGGAGGAGAGAGGAAGGGGAGGTGGGATACGTAAATGAGAAGCAGACAGAAGTTGGTGGCCTGGCCAGTACAGAAGACCTTTACGGCTGCTCTTGGTTAGGTCTCTGTCAAATAACAATGTACTTTTTCATTGTTGGTCTCCATATCCATATGGATATAATCATATATGCTGTTAAGTCTCAAGACATAAGTTCACCAATAAATTGAA